GACTATCCGTAAAAATAAAATAGTGATCTGGTGCAAGTGAGGCGATCGTTTCTAGCGTATAGTATATTGCCGCCAGTTCAGCAACATATACGGAACAAGGAGCTTGAAGCATTCGAGAGGCGCTATGAAATTCGTTAAAAATACCAAAACCAGCGGACGACTCTATTAGTGATCCATCTGTGAAGAACGATCTTGCAGAATCAACTTGGCCAAACTTTGCAGCGTAAATTGACGGAACAATCATGGAACGATGATGTTCTGGGATTCCACGAATCTCCCGCGTCATAGATAAATCAAAACTAACTGAATTGCCGAAGTCGGAGAAGCATACACGATGGGGATTATGCTGTGAAGGGCTGACATCCTGAGTTATGTACACGTAGTACAATGACATAAAACGAGTTTGAGGGTTTAGCTCAAGAAGCTTCTCAAAGTTTTCGATTACCAGTGGGTTCATAACTTCACAACGGGTGAGGAGCCTGAGGGACAATTCCGAAAACCGATCCGATAGTGGCAACATGCCCGCCAACACTTCGAGACTCATCGTATGAGTCGAGTGCATGCATCCTAACGCGATACGAAGACAACGATACTGGATACGTTCCAGTTTGATGATGTGAGTTTTAGCCGCCGACTGGAAGCAAAAACTACCGTACTCCAAAACCGATAAAATCGTTGTCCGGTACAACGTTAGAAGATCTTGCGGATGAGCTCCCCACCACGTTCCGGTAATTGTTCGGAGAAAATTGATCCTTTGTTGGCATTTTCGTCTCAGATACTCAATGTGGGATCTCCAGGTGCATTTGGAATCGAACCAGACCCCAAGATATTTGAAAGACATGGAATGAGTGATCGGCTTACCCAAAAGTTGAAGCTTCGGTTGTGCTGGGCTATGCTTCCTAGAAAAAACGACCAACTCAGTTTTCTCCGTGGAGAATTCGATACCTAGCTGGATAGCAACGCTATATTTGTGTAAACTGAAAATGATCATTTTGCATTAATATTGACAACAATACAGGCGATAATGAAGATCCAGTCACGAATGGCAAAAACAAATGTTGGCGTCGATACTCACAGGTTGCCTTGATCAAGAGAATGTTGTTATGTCAAAATTCAAATTCATGCAGATAGTTGGTCTATCTGTTAAGGTTGTCTTCGTTTTCAGCGAAGTTGAGTGTAGAAGAAATGATTTTTATCAGCACTGGTTGCTGGGTTGCGTTGTATCATTGTTATTTATGCGCGTAGTAATGTTCTTACTTTAGGGGTTCATGTAGAAACCAAACATAAAGTATAAAGCGTTCAGTTTCAGGCACAGTGGTAAATCGCATGCTGATAATCACTTTTATCGATTCCCGAAGATCCTGATAGTAGGAAATGGATTGGTATTTTCGTGAACCATGAGACAGACTGTTAAAACGTAGCACGCAATGAGGGAAAATGTACAACAGGGAACATGAATGCAGCGAAAAACAACTTAAATAAGCCAATTGACTGCCCTTAGGTTCATACTAGCTTTTGAAAGTCTATATACCCAACAAACAATTTTAGCTGTAGATTAGCTTATACAGCAAAACATTTGCTTATACAGCTAATTTTTACCTGTATAAGCTAGTCTGCAGCTAAAATTGTTTGTTGAGTATGTTCCTTTAATACCAGAAAAATTACGAGTTCCTTTCAGTCAGATCTGAGAATTCCAATCCAAATTCCAAGAATTTAAAGGAAATCCTGGAAACATCAAGAACGTCCGGAACGTTCAGCACAACATGGAAGATTTTTAGGGCAGGTTCCGATAGCTTCAAGATTTCAGGATGGCTTCGAAAACCTCAGGGAAATTCAATTAACTTCAAGAAAATTACAGGAACTTTACAGAAGTTCCAAGAATCTCAGGGAATTTTCGGAAGCTTCAGCAATGTTTCGACTTCATCAAAGAACATCAGAGAACCTTAGAGAAGTTTATAGATTTGATTTAATGCAGGAACTTTCAAGAAGTTCCGATGAATTATGGAATATTCAGAGAATTTCAGGAATATTCTGAATATTTATGTAAACAGGTGGTGTATGTTGAGAAGTTCCATGAATATTTGGAAAAATGTTGGGACGAATAGTTCGAGAACTAGTTAGTTAGTTATCTTTATTAAGCCGAACGCTCAATTCCGAGAACTATTTAAAAAATTAGGAAACGGGATAGAAAATTCGAGAACATTTTGAACATTCAGGAAACTTTAGATTTTAAAGAAAATTAAATTAGCTTCAATGAAGTAGCGAAAACATCAGAAAAAATGTGGTAGTTTCAAGATAGATCAAATAAATTTAGGGTAGTTCAACTATCTTCAGGAAAATTGCGTCAACTTTTAATAACCTCTGAGCAATCCACCGTTAAACTGGAGAGCCAATATCCGATCAATTTAGTATTTTAAAGATTTATTACGAACTGATAGCAGACAACTTTACCCGTACCCTAGCTTTAATTGGAGAGAACTAAATTGTGTGTACATGTCGAAATTAAAATTATGGGCGCTTCATAAAGGTGGCGCACATTAGACTGATGCAAAATTTGAAATGTTTGCTCCACAGTGCTCAAACGGTTCCAAATCGGGTCCTGATTAGCCTTCAAAAATTTTAACTCATTTGATAAGAAAAAAGGCTAGATGATAATGATCAAAAAGTTTGGTTTCCCATAATAATTTCCATATAAACTTCAAATGTTTTGTGCCATGTCAGTTTGTTACCAAATGAGTTCGATTTTTGGGAGGTTAATCAGGACCCGATTTGGAACGGTTTGAGCACTGTGGAGTGAAAATGTCAACTTTTGTATCAGTCTAGTGCACATATGAAAAATCAGTGAGTAACCAGGTTCAAATTTACCATGATAGCACTGCTCTCGCTACAGACAACGTACATAAGTCTTTTAGGCACAGCCCCTAACCCGCTTTGCGGGACATTCAATGCACTTCTATGTATAAATAGTTCAGACGACATCTAGTAGAAGTCCCATGATATTTTATGATTGGGTATTTCTAAGTGTGTACCTTTTGGAGTTTGTCCTCCTGGCCATTGGGCACACATTTGTCGAACTTAGAAGGTGGGATGGGAGTATTTTGGTGGCAGATCTGAATTTTCTAGCAAATCCAGTGAGCTTAGAATTTATGAATGAACTTTGACTGGAGGCAGTAGCCTAACGAGTGTGAGAAGCAACATCATTATCATCAAATTCTGGCTCCTGTCATTTCGTAAAATAGACTATGTGATGTTTTATCTCCCGTGCTCTTCGTGCTTTAGGAAAAATACTGAATATCAATAATTCAACCTATCAAGAGTTATAAACAGGTTCAAGGACCGGTTGACATTGGATCACAAGCACGTAACAGGAAGGAAACCGGGTGCAGCATGTAGGAAGACGGAGGGAAGGGTGAAGAGTAATTTCAGCTGAAATCCCAACATTTCAACAAGTGATGTTGCCAAAAAGGTTGGTATTTTGCAAAGCTACGTACATAAAGTCAAGGCCAGGGGTTGAAACTGTTGACGTTTTTTACTACACTCGCTTCGTTATCCTGCGCGACAGTCTGCTTGTTTTCGTACTCTCATGCTCTACCGTCGTCTCCCTTACACAACACAAACGGTAGAACAACATTCGAGCAAAAAGAAAATTATCAAATAACTATCATATGACATGTGTGATTTCGTTCTAATTCCTTAATTTGGTGTAAATTAAACCTTTTCTGACCAGAAATGCTATTACTAGGCCATCGTTGCTTGCTATTTTCAGAATTCACACAAGCACAGCATCAGCAGCTTTTATCATGGGAAAAAACTAAAATACATACATTCGTGACGGTCTTCGGCGACAGTGTCGTATGACAGAGCCTTCATATGACATTTTAGTTTGGTACTGTAATTTGATAGCTTGTTTTGCAAGTGTCGGAAGCAAAGGCAGTCGATTATCACAGAAAATGTGTCGACTAAGGTGACCGCTTACAAGACTGGTCAAGGCAAGAGATGCAAAAAACTTCCCAAACCGCGATGAACGCAAACTGTTGCCAAAACCCGCGCAAGGAAGCTCTACAGGGAAATGTTGACCAGATACAGTTGCTGTGTGATTGATGATGAAACATACGTCAAAGCTGACTTCCTACAAATACCAGGACAGGAGTTTTATACAGGAAAAGATAAGTTTCAAGTGGATGATCGGTTCTAGAAAAAGAAAATTTCGAAATTTGCATCAAAATACCTTATTTGGCAAGCTATCTGCACCTTTGGAAAAAGAAGTAAAATATACGACACAAAGGGCACCATCAATGATGAAATTTACAAAAATGAATGCCTCCAAAAACGTCTGCCACCATATTTTAGGCAGCACAGTGAAAAACCATTGTTTTGGCCGGACTTTGCTTTATGTCACTATTTTAAAAGCGTGCTGGAATGGTATGATGCCAATTTGGTGCATTTTGTACCCAAGGACATGAATTCATTGAACTGTACTGAACTACGCCCAATCGAAACCTATTGGGCCATAATGAAGCGGAAACTCAGAAAGACCATCAACTGACAGAACCCCAAAGGTGCAAAGAGCGAGGCGATGCTGTGAACAAGCACGCTTCTCAGCAACGGTACAAGTGTGCTGTGTCACAGCATCGCCACGCACTTTGCACCCCTGGGGTTCTGTCAGTTAAGAAAGTAACAGATGTATTTAAATGACATGCTAAGAAAATTGATAAAAAATGAGAAAAAGGCACCGGATACGATTGTACCAGCTCTTATCGATGACGTGAATCAAAAGTGTCGGGCATTTTATCAAACAACCCCAAAAAATCCCCACCCTATAAATTTGGGTTTTACCTGATAAATACGTGAAATTTGAGGAAAAAATAAAATAAAATGTGTTGCAATAGTTCAGCCATAGATAACAGTTGAGTCCCACATTTGGCCAGTCCAGAGAAATAACGGCTCATGTTTCAACAACTGACACGCAAAAACTAACACTCTTTTCATCTTATCAACAGGTAACCTGCGACATCTGCCTGAAGACCTTCGCCAGCAGTTCCGGTTTGATCGTACACCGCCGGATCCATCTCGGCATACACCCATACAAGTGCGACTATTGCCCGAAATCTTTCGCCCAATCGACTGCTCTCAAATATCATCTCAAAAAGCACGACACCACAAATCTACCGACGACCACCGGTACCGAGGCTTCCAAATCCAAACTAGCAACCGATTCCAGCTCCTTCTCGGAACAATCGTCCGATCAATCGAATCCTCCCACCACGACGACCACGACGACCAGTCCGGAACCTTCCAGCCAGCAGCAATCGACCAAATCCAACCCTGGCCACGTCAAGTGTCAGGTTTGTAACAAGCACTTCCGCTCGGCTGAATATCTGGCACGGCACCGTAGGACCCACTCCGGCGAACGGCCGTACCAGGTGAGCCCCTGATCTGCTTTTATCGCAGCAACTTCCGTCACTGATGAATGTTAATGAAAAGGAATTGTGCAATTTTTAGTGCGAGATTTGCGGCAAAAACTTCAGCACCATGAGCTACCTGGTCGTCCACCGAAGGCGGCACACCTCGGAGCGACCGTATAAGTGTCCGTACGCGGATTGCTCCAAGGCATTCGTGGACAGTCGTGCCCTACAGGAGCACAGTCGATCGGTGCACTCGAAAATTAGGGTCCCGTGCGAAACTTGTTCGAAGACTTATTCGAGCGTAAGCAATCTGATTGTCCACCGGAGGATCCACAGTGGGGTCCATCCATTCGAGTGCGACATCTGTGGGCGATCGTTTGCCCAGAAGAATGCCCTCAAATACCACCTGAAGCAGCACGTCAACAAACAGGAAACTGTAAAAAGTAGCTCCCATAGCGATGAGAAGAAATTTTAAACTAGAATAGACCTACTGAACCAAAACGCAAAACCAAATTCAACCCAAGCGACCATAGAAAACCAGACCAGTATTGATTGTATAGAGTAATCTAAGAGTGCTATGCCCTAACAATTCCTAGTTTGAATTCAGTGATCAAGCAACCAAGTGAAATCTACCTATGGAGTAAAAATGGAGGAAAAAGAAAATGTTGAATGGATGTGAACCAAAAGTTCTGTAAATTTAAAGGTTTTAGAAATCGAATCGAAGTGTAAACTAAGTCAAAACTGAAAAAAACTGTAAAAACTAACCGCGCAAAAGACAAAAGAATCGTTCCTTATTTGAAGACTTTTAAACTAATTTTAGCAACCTAGTAAACAAGATGAATGGAAAAACGCAAAATCGCGAACTAAACCAAAGTAAGACTAAGTGTAGTGAATATGAAATCTTTTAATTTATTACAATAAAACGAAATGTAACGAGAGAGGAGGGGTTTTCTTCCCTGTCAGAGAAATTTCCTTTCAATTTACCATCTGCAAACCGAAACCGTTCCCTTGCGATATAAATCATTGATCCACAACAACAACAAAAAAAAACTTATCCTCTCACTCAAATCTAATAAAGCAATATAACAAAACTAGCTGTTGGCACATGCCCGTACGGACGTTCAGCCACCACCTGTTGTTGCATTTCTTTCATCGCAATGTGCACTTGCTGTTGCAAGTAAGTGCACTTGCACCGTTCGGTTGGGCCCATATATCAATCAATTACAACAAGCATGCAGTGCGCCTGTAGGCCTACGGATTCGCTTTCGATCCTGTTAAGCTGCGAACGTGCTGATTGGGATCAGTGAGGATGGGGGCAAAGCGAGCGAAATGGAGATTTTTTTTTTCAAACTGTCGGAAGCATGCCTGTTGGGGATTTTTTGTTTTCGTTTTTGTTTTATGCTGTATCAATATGCATCGCTTTGTAAATTTAGCTCAAATGTATACGTATGGTGCTGATGTGCTAACGAGTTGAGTTGAAGAACAGGTATGGTGTTGGTTTATTTATTACAATACTTAATACTTAACAAAGCAATTCGATGTTGTTTCCTTGGTTTCATACGCTAATTATTTTGCTATGATATTTTTTTTTTCGGAATTATTTAATCATTGGATGATATGATGATGTTTCATATTAGTAATTCCGTGGATACACTTTGAATGATAAACTATGAGCATGAACATTATAAGTATAAAAATTGTGAGCACTATAAAAAACTATACAAAAACTGTACAAGTGGATCAGTGTACACTGGATGCATGGATGAGTAAGAGTTTCATTATACAAATATGGCTCATGCTCATATAGCGAATTCGTTTATTATCGGGGTTAACACCAGTTCCAACCCAGTGCGAAACCGAACTTTTTGTCAGTGTGAACCTCAACCTGAGCTAGGTTTTAAAAACAAACGAGCAGACTGACGTTTGTCAGAAAACAAGCAGACCCAATCTTGATACCCGATTCAGGTTGGAATTGAATAATAAAAGAATTCGCTAATAGGGGAAATGCAGGTAATGTCGGCCTAAGTGTCCCTAATTTGGGCCCATACATAAATTCAGCAATCAACTAAATTTTCAATAGCAACCAAAAATATCCTTTAATAACGTCCCAATAACGCGTTCATCTTGATAAAATTGATAAATAGCAGACTTTTAGCGATGGGCCCAAATTAGGGACATGTAGGCCGACAATACCTACATTTCCCCTAGTTTGTCATACAAGGAGGTCATCCACCAGAGTTAATGTACACGTGCATCCATCCCGCGTGATAGAAACACGCTTTTTATCAGATCGTAGTTGCCTGGTACATTTCGAGACGAATTATTTCGCGTCTTTTTTGTTCCTACGTTCCTCATTTGTGTCACATGTGCTGTGTCTCATGAGCTAAGCTCGGCGCGCTCCAGGGAGATCGGTAGCGTACATTCGTCCTGCGTGCATGCTAAAAGTGGCTGGTTGGTGTCAAAGAAAACAACAGAGAACTGTTGATCGAGTAGTCCTATCATATTCTCGTGTTGCTGGTACAGATTATTGATTTGAATTAGTTGGTATTCAGTTTTTGAGGGTTGAGAGATTTTGGTTTTATAGAAGTATACAGACCAATTACCGGCGGAGTTATTTGTTACCGATCCATTCCCATGGAATTTTCCAAGTTCAAACGATTTCAAATCAGCTCCTAATCATTCTCACAAAATTGGATCACATTAGGATGCAAACTCATACTGCACTTGGCCCTTTGAAGTTTATGTGGGAATTGAAAACCAATTGAAAAACGTTAGGATTATCAGTTATTAATTCAAGACCAACACTTGAAATGGCCTTAACTCCATTTTGTAAACAAACATTGTAAGGCCATTTTCTCGCGAACCGAAACCTTCATTCGCAAACCAACATAATGAACAGGTAGGGGAAGTTCTCCTCTACCGATTGTGGTTTAGGTTTGCGATTGAAGGTTTCGGTTCGCGAGAAAATGACCTTACAAGGTTTGTTTACAAAATTGAGTTAAGGCCATTTCAATTGTTGGTCTTGAATTGATTAGGAAGATGATGTTCTTCTGACATCTTCCATTTACTAATCAGCAGACAACATTGGAATAATAGGACAAACAATCCAGGCTATTATGTTATAAGGGCAAGATGCAGTGTTGCCCTGAAAGCAACCGATTAATCCGACCAGAAAGTTATCAACTTGGAAATTAATATATAACTAATTTTCGTGACATTCATTTAAAAAGTGATTTTCAACAAAGTTGTAGCTGGGAAAATTTCACGTCGGGGGGGGGGGGGGGGGCTCCGACGGACAACTTTTCCGTAAATCATTATGGTGTAGGGCTTGAACGATGAGGACAAAAAGTACACTTTTCTTATAGCAATCCCCATATAAACTTCAAAGAGCCAGTGACGAATGCGTTCGCCACCAAATTAGCTCAAATTTTGGGAGATTGATCAGTCTGATTTGAAACCAATTGAGCTTGGTGGATCAAATTGAAACCATCATAATATAATAGGTACTTTGCAGCTGGCAAAGAACCAGTAGTTCAGCGGGCCCTTTAAAAAAATATATTTGTTGTTGAAATTGATTCGTGTGACTTCATCCAGCAGTATTTTCAGCCTTTCAAGCTGTAGCCGATAACATCACTAGTTAATTGAAACATGTACTTAAATTTGAGAACTGTTCAATTATATTTAGAAAAAAAAGACATGGTTTGTTCGTCCCAAGTAGTAGCCAACCTGAAAATATGATGAGAAATAAGAAAACTGGATTTTGGGATGAATCCAACATACTTGTCACACTCAACGGTCAGTATCTGAATCGAAAACCATGTTTTCCAAAATGTTTATTTAGTAGGCTCAATATCTTTGAAAGCTCTGTGGAGCCGAAGGACTAAACAAACATTCAGTGGAGATCTAAATCGATTGCTTATTTTTTTTTGCTTGCAACGCATCGAATCTCGACAGATCTGCAAACCGTTTCTGCCGATGATGCTGTGCTTCGTTTTTGCATGCTTTATCGGCGTCCTGATGGCACGTCCATTATCATCACCTCTTCATGCAGCACCTCTCCCACTTCCTCTGTTGATTTGCTGGTGCTGTCTGACAATGCACCTACAGCCACTACACCAGGGTAACTGCTATCCGAGTTGCAAAGAATTTTGTAGTTTTTCAAGAAACTTCGTTCCAGGGAACTTTTTAAAAGTTCTGGAGGATTTTTTTTTAAAGTTCAGCTAACTTTGTAGAAACTCACCGAACTTCAATGAACTTCGTAGAGTTTCATCGAACTACTTCGGTAACTCTTCTTCTACGCACCTGAAAAGGTTATATAAAACAACGACACTTCATACACCTCGCAACTCGTAATTGACAGTATGGGCTGAATGAGGCTATTCAAACTGTCGCTAATGTGATTAATAACGCTTATGCTTCGTTTGACTCTAATGTTCCGTTAACAATTTTCACTAGAACACTGTCCTGATTTTGAATGTTTCTTTGGCCCCGCTTAGATTGATATGTGATCACGATTTTATGCTGGCTACGAAAAGAAGGCGATGTGTCAGGCCCTTGTGTTTTATACATTAAGACCAACATATGTCAGATGCATCATGAGCTAAATTTAGTGAAATTATTTGAAGTTCAGAAATCATCGAAAAGTTCAGAAAAGTTCAGAAAACTACGTAGAAGTGGGAACTTTATACAATTTTAGGGATCTTTGTAGAAGTTAAATGTTTAATGCCAGGGAACCTCTTTATTATTCAGGGACCTTTTTTATAACTTCAGAGCACTTTGACGAAATCTCATGGAGTTGAAATAGTTCAGAGAATTCCGCACAAATTCAGGAAATTTCTTGCGTCAAACTTTGCGGAAAATCAACGAGAAACGTAGACGTGCAGCAAACTTTGATGAAGTTTTGTGGACTGCGTAAAATTTCATAGAAGTACAGGAAAAAGTTAAGTGAATTTCTTAAAGATAGAAGACTTCAGGGATCTTCGTTTCAGTTTAGGGAACTTCATAGCAGAGATCAGAGATCTTTAAAATTACAATAAACTTCCTGAAGATGAAGATTTTGGACCTTTCCTTTTCCTTTTTTTTTAAAAACCTTGAAATTTGAGTAAATTTTCTAAAACTTAAGGAAATTTTGTAGATGTTCAGGAAACGTTGAAATCAATGGGTAGGTCACTCCTCACATCAATCTTGGGTCAGTGTGCCGCAGATGTGCCGATTGTGCCGGTCATAGAACAAGCTGCGACTGTTTATAAAATATCCATCCCAGCAACCCGGTATTTCTGAAAGAAAAATTAATTGTGATAATTTTTAAATATTTTCCCAAAAAGCATCTATCTGCCAAAAATGGGCTCAAGCTACTTTTCGGTGAGTTGTGAGCCGTTCATATTTTCATCTCTCCATTTTCACTGATAATTCATTTCCTCTCTCATACATAATCCAAAAATATCTCTCTTCAAAAACCAACGAAAATATTTTTTCATCACCCATTTGGCTCTGAAAACTACCAAGAGCGAAAAAAATACCACCCCAAATTGTTCGGTTCCAACCCAATGTGATGTAAACAGTTGAGGCTTGGGAATTCGCTGTATCTTTTGTTCTTGGGCTGATTAAATGGTTGACGGAGTTTGACGTCATACTGTGTTATCCATTTAAAGAGCGGCAGAACGAAAGAGACAACGATTTCACATAGCCTCGCCTGTTTGCATGTCATTGGTTTCAACCAGTCCGGCAGATTTTTTTTATTTCCTTTTTTATACCTTCTGTCAAATCATAAGGGCCATCCATAAATGACGATGCAATTTTCTTACCAATTTTAGACCTTCCCCTTTCCCTTCGTGGCGTTTTTTCTATACCTTATGCATGGTCCGTTACAAATTTTGAAATCCCCTCTCTATTGCTCCTCAGATTCTACGTAACTTATGGATGTGCCCTAACTGTTGTT